CCGCCGCCGCCGCCCTAGCCGCCACCGCAGGCTCGCGCCTCCCCCCAACCCATCCCCGCCGCCGCCCCCTCACCGATGGCGCCGCCGCCTCGCCGCACCCTGCCTCGCGTTCGCGTGGCGGAATCGACGGCGCGCGCGCCCGCGACCCGCCGCGTAGCCGCAGGGGGAGCGCCGTTGTAGTCTTCTGCCGAAACCCACCATCTGCTTCCTTAAAGGACCTAACGCTGCCGCACCGCTCTCTTCCCTCTCCCCAACTATTCCCATACGCCATAGATCTGCGTGAGGCGTGACGCGGCGTCGCCACCTCACCGCCCTCTTAGAGGGAGCGGACCGTGAGTTGAGGAAATCGGAGGACGCGACCCACTTCTCCACAGACGGTCCCGCGCCTCGCCGCTATGACGGCGACACGGCCGCAGCTCGTGTGCGTGTCGCCGTCTTTGTCCGGAGTGAAAAGTCCAACCCGCTCGTCGGTGACGGTGTCCTCCAACCTGCGCCGCGCTCGGCGAACCTCGACAGCGCCTTCGATGGCATGCAGCTCTTTGCGTCAGAAGCCTGGAGAGCAGCTCCTCGGCTGCTCACACGCTCTGCACAGTTGACACAGCCTACTGTGCGGCTACCACAGCTGTGACAGCGATGGGCTCGCCCTCACTGGCCCTCAGTCACTTGTGCTGCGGCTTGTGTGAGCGACACTGCTCGGCGACTGCCGGCACACTGTGAGACCATGGGTGTGAGGTAAAACCACGCTACCAGCGCTTGGTCACATCGGCCCCGAGGTCAGATCCTTCTACTCTGTTAGTGACAAGACTTGTCTACTGGCTGGAGCCGAGCAGGAGGGCCCGGCGCACAACCCCTGGTCAACTCACGGTCCACACCCCGTACGGCCTTTACTTAAAGCCGTAGCGTGCTCTCGCCTTTCTCTTTCAGTCGCGCGCTCGCGCCTCCCGCCTCCCTCCACGCCTCTCGACCACGCCCCCCCCCCTCCCGCCATCCCTGTGGATCTGGATGTGCTGGAACCTGGAAGCGTAGCGATGTGCGCCTGCTACTTTTGAAGATGAAGTCATTTGGACAAGCGGAAAGCCTCCTAGGGACCCTACGGCTTTCACCGCGGAGCGTGGAGGAGTCAGAATTGTTTGAGTTCGTCCGCCACGCCGTGCCCGCGGCTGTGGGCCTGTGACTAGACCTGTGCGCGGGGCCCGCGCACAGTAGCGAGGAGCGACGTATATCTCGTCTACCCGTCCTCCCCGTCCGAAACGGCCGAATCGTAGCTGCCCAGAAGCTCCGTGTGGCTCCCGCGCCTACACGAGATGGCAACCAGACGCAGTAACGATCGCATGCCCTCGTCTTATGTCGGCACACCTCTCCAGCCGCCGCTCCGGGCGAGTGCGGGCGGCCGCATTTCGAGATTATATCTGTCCAGCCGGCCCCGCCGGCCTGTGAACGCACCGCCGCCGCCCTCGACGTCCTCGTCGTAACTGCTCTCACGCGCCACCTGCTCAAGCACCCGCTCGCTGCCCGCGAGCGCGCCGACGTCCATGCGCCCGAACAAGCTCGCCGCGAGGCCGGCGCCGGGAGACCACCCGGTAGGCGAGGTGGGCGCCTGAAGTGGAAGGAAGGGGGGAGGGGGGGGGTATGCGTCGAGGCTGGTCCTCTCCTGCGTTCGCACTTTGGCGGGCCATCCCACCCTGGCAGGCCGCGACAGCCGACCGTCAGGTGTCCGCGCTCGCACCACACGAATGGCGAGAGGCGGCCTCTTGCGAGGGGAGGAGGCGCAGGCGGGCGGGGGCGGGCGGGAGGCGCAGGCGGGCGGGGGAGCGCGGGGGGGAGGGGGGGGGGGGGGGGGGGGCCCCCCTCCCCCGAAATGCCCGGGGGGGAGCGGCCTACCCCCCAAGCAAAAAGCAAACTTCCCGCGACAAGACCGCTTGAAACATAAACGGGGGGGGGAGGCGGGGTGCGACGCGGGACACAAAGGGCCAAAACGGTTCGATCCCAGACATCTCGGTGCCAGAGCGCACAAGCGCGCAGGATCTGCCGGCAGATGCGCGCTAGTGTACTCCCCGGGGGGTACAGCGTCTCGGGCCTGAGGAGAAGCTCTGCCGCGACGCCCGCACGCTCCTCCAATGCTCGCGCGCCGACTTGCGGTCTGAAGACGCAAGCATCGGCGAGACCTATTCAGCACAGCCTCGCCGCGCTCGCAGCGCAGCACGCGGCGCGCAGAGCCCGGAGAGAGCGGCTTCCTGCAGGCTGCCGGTGGAGGTCTCCAGCAGGAGACCGCATCCGCTGCCAGTGGAGAGGTAGCCGGACAGGGATGAAGAGCGTCTTGCCTGCGCGGTCACACGTGCAAGAACGTGAAGACGCGCTCTCCGGCTCTCCCCGCTCTGGCACCCGGGGCACCGCGCGCCTTGCGGTACTCTTTCTCGTCGCCATTACCAGAGCAGCAGCGCCTGTGTACATGCACGCGAGCGGCGCGAGAATGCAGCCGAGACACGGTGTGAGCAACGGTGTGCGCCTCTCTCTCTCTCTCTCTCTCTCTCTCTCTCTCTCTCTCTCTCTCTCTCTCTCTCTCCGCAGAGCCAGAGGAGGGGCACCGCGACGCAGCAGAGGAGAGGGGAGAGGCCGCGGTGGGGAGAGGGGAGAAGCCGCGGCGAGGCAGGAGAGGAGAGGCAGCAGAGGAGAGGCAGCAGAGGATAGGGGCACACCTCGCACACGCGCGGAGGCCACACACCGCGACGAGGCCGGCGAGCAGCAAGAGCGCCGAGGCCGCGAGCGCCTCGGCGGTCGAGAGATGCAGCGCGGCCGCCTTCACCTGGCCCAGCCTGCCCGAGAGTCCGCCGCGCAGGGCCCCGTATGGCAAGCCCTCTGGCGGGGTGGCGCGAGGTCGGTTCTCCCTCCGGTGGTCATGTTGGTGTTGGTGCCCCCCCCCATGCCCGCCGTGGCCGCGACGACCGCCACGGCCCCCCTCTGCCCGCGCTGCCGGCGCCACCCCCCCGGCGTCGCCTGCCGCCCCCCGGTCTCGCGACAGCTCCCACTCGAAGCGGCACGAGGCGGAAGTGCAACGCTCGCCCGCCTCGCCAGCCTCGCCCGTGCCGTCTTCGCCGCTGCCTCGCCCCCGCGCCTCCCCTCCGTCGCCGCCCCCCGTCCGCGCCCCCCCCCGCCTCCAAACCTCCACCTGCGTGCCGTCGTCGTCACGCTCCTCAACCTCCGCAGCCGGCGGAGCCCTGGCCCACCCGCCCAGATCTCGCTCGGCCCGCTGGAGGGTGGCCGGCCGAGCTTCGTGCGGGTCGAACCCGCGGACGTGCGACCGGAAGATGTGGTGCTCGTCATCATGGTCGGCGGCGCCGGCACCCTCGACAAAACGGGCGGCGCTCAGCGGGTCGTCGCGCGCGACAAAGGTGACGTTCAAGAAGCCAATCTGCCCGCGATCGCTCGGGGCCACTGCGGCTGGACCGGGCGACACGCCGCGATCGATGGTGCGCGGCCAGGCGCGACCGCTCCCGCCGCCGCGCGGCCCCGGATGCGGCTCGTGCGTATAGAAATATTCGTCCATTATCTCCAGACACCCTGCTTCTTAGATCGTGAGGGCGAGTTGCCTCATCAGAACGCTGTCAAGCGCATCGAAAAAAATTGGGCTGCTACTATTAACAACGAAGGCGCTCTCAAAAAAATTTGTCACCCCAGCCTCGCACAACACTGGGCACGGGACAAAAAAGAATCAGGAAACGCCGCCATCACGCGGACTGGCACACACACCGGCTCATCAAAAAAGAATCAGGAAGAGCTCAGTTTTGGCACAAGGCCGCACATACTTTTTGCGAGGCAGAGGAGAGCGACGCGACAGAGGACGAGGAAGCGACAGGAGGGAGAACGACGAGAGTGGGACGACCGCGAGGTGGCATGAAGGTTGCAGCGAGAATCGGCGAGGGACTGCGAAGGGAGATAGGAAGAGGCGGACGCCCAAGGGTGGGCGACGGCTAGCACCACACTCCTCTCCTTAAAATCCCTGTGTGGTGGCGGCGTGCCGTCCTCCCATCCGTCCCTTGGGTTGTCTGTTTTCTTTCTTTCTTTCTTTTTGCAAAAAAGAAAACGGAGGCGCCCCTGGGCACTTTGCGTTTCCGGAAATTTCCAGGGAAAACAGAGGGTGTTTGGTGCTCCATTCTTGTTTCTCTCGAGTTTCCCTCGCTCGGGAAACGTGGCGAGTTTCCCTGAGAGCTGAGTCTGAGAGCTGTTCTGGCTGGCTGGGGCAAAATCTGAGGCAAAATTGAGGAAATCGGCACGATACCTGGGTATTTTCCAGGTATACCCGGGGTTTGTCAGGTATCCCGGCAAAATACCCGGTATTTGGCCGATTTTGCTGATTTTGGCCCCAAAATAGCCTCAGACTCGGCTCAGAGCCCCCCAAATTGACACGGAGTTTTCCCGGGAAAATAGATAGGAAAAGAGAGGGTGCTGTAGAGAAAAAAGGAAAGGAAAAGAGACGGGGTGCGAGATGAAAAGCTTGTTCAGCCTAAATTAAACTCCCTCGCACGACACTAGGGTCTAGGCACGGGACTGGCGCGCACTGGCACTAACACAGGTACACCACGGGAGCCGCCTAAGCGACTCCTGCGAGGACGGCGAGGCACTCTCAGTTCTCGGTACTAACACATCGATGAAGAAAGTGTCACGACCCATGGCATGCAGCGCGTCGACACCTCGACTCGAGTGGAGTGTCTCTCCGTCCGTCCGTCCTCACTTCACACACCCCGGACACAGGAGTTCACAGCCTTGTTATGAGTGAGAAGAAAATACGTCCTATGGCGCTATGATTCACACAACCTGAGCGTAGAGAGCCGCGGGAGGTAATGGGTATCGTCTATCGTCTAATCGAGTTCGAATAGAACCACTATCTCGATACTATGTACGGCGCTAGACGGCCTTACGATGGCGCGTGTACTAGATAGATAGAGCCCACGCGCACTCCCTGTCCGTACGTACGCGCTCCTCTGGTAAAAGCTTAACGAGCAACCGCCAACCCCCAGTATGCTCACATAGCACACAGGAAGAGTCTAGAGAGCACAGAACATGCACACTGTATGTCGATCCATACACTAACGAGTGACGGCGACGTACGCAGCACGGCCATGCCACCATAGCTCGTGCACTCGACCGCCCTCGCCGCAGGCAAGCTCATCAAAAAGAATTCTTAAAGGAAAGTCATGTCCCACACCCCTGCGCGCGGGCCTTCTGGCTCGCACCTCAACCTCTCATAGACCAGCCTGGGAAGTATTCTGGGAAATGTTTGCATCGCAAGGACCTCGAGGACAAGGACGTACGCAAGTCATCGGCAGTCCACCCCGGGCATCCCTCGAACCACCGCGATGTCAAAGATCTTCCGCTCTTCATCATTTCAGCGCGTTGCGAAGGTGTTCAAGCGGCGGGGCAAGAAGGACGAGACAAACGCCGCCGACGCCGAGCCCGATGCTGTATTTCGGACCGACTCTGAAATCGTGCGCGAGGCAGCTCACGTCTCGGCGGCAAAGTCGAGGAGGTTGAGTGGTGAGGGATCAAAGCTGCGATCCTCAACTCACAGCGTCCCAATGACGCGGACGGAGCAGCTGCGCCGGTCAAAGGAGGAACCTGCGCCTCCCGCGCCGTCCGCGCCCGCTGAGACAGCAGAGGCAGAGCCGCCAGCCGTGGAGGCAATAGAAGCAGAGCCAGCTAGTGGCTGGGCGGACGATTACCACCCATCCTCTCGTCAGTCTTCAATGGAGGCCACTGCGGACGCAGCGGCGCTGCCGTCCGTGGCGGAGGCGAATGCAGAGGTGCAGCCGCCGACCGAGGCGGCAGCGGCAGTGGATGCCTCAGACGAACACGCGGAGGAGGAGCTTGTGGCGCTGGCAGAGCCCCAGCCGGGCACGCCCGAGGAGGCAGAGGAGACGGCGCTGGAGCCGACACCGGGGCCTGGGCTAGAGCCAATGCCGGAAGCGGAGTTGACGTTGGAGAATGAGCCCGCCACGGCGCCAGAGCAGCCTGCGCCAGCTCTGGAGCCCGAGGCTCCGGAGCTGGAGTTGGAGGCGGCGGCTGCACCGCGCGTGGCGCCGCCGACGCCGGCCCAGTCTGCAGAGTTTGTTGAGGTCGCAGATCCGGAGCACGCACCGGGCGACGATGACGCAGCTGGCGGCGACGACGCCGGCGGCAAGGCTGCAGGGGCCGCCACGAGTGCGGCGGACGATGAGGGGGACCCACCCGTCGACCCAGCACACGCAGAGTACCTTCGCATGGCGGCGGCCGAGGCGGCGGCCGAGCCAAGTCTCTTCGATCTGATGCAGCGCTTCCAACGCTCGGTCTCCAACGTGCTGCTCTCGCCGCGGGTCGTGCGTTGCCTCGGGGTGGAGGCGCCGCCGTCGCCAGCGAAGTCACCCTCAAAATCGCCCGTGAAGGCCGCACAGCAGGCGGTGGCGCCCTCCACGGAGCCCGAGGTCTCACTCGTGCCGGCTGCTGCTGCAAGCGAGCTTGCGGCAGTCGAGACGCCCTCGCCCCCCCCGACACGCCGCTCGTCCATTTTCTCCCAAGCCTCGGAGGACGCGCTGACAGGCCGGCAAAAGGCGTTGTACAAAGACTTGTCGGACCTCAAGGCGGAGGCGCGCGAGTACGCGGAGGTTGCCTGGCAGCGCGCAAGCCGCGCATCGCGTGCAAGCCACGCCCGTGCCGATTCGTGGCTCAACCAAGAGTCCAGCGAATCCGTCCTTGGCTGAGATGGCGATGCTAGCCGGGGTTCGCGCAGAGTAGAGAGAGGTGTCCCTTCTGCGCGTGATGTAGAGCTTAGAGCGTCCAAAAATGATACACAGAGATTGGATTCATGCGGGGGAAGTCAAAAGGCGACACGACTGCTGAAAGAGTTGTGTCGGTTTATTCACATATCGACTGCCGAACTCACCACACAACCCGCGAGAGGGACCATGTGGAAGAAGGAAGACGGCTAGTGCTAGTCCCCCCCCCATCGGGAGGACGACCCCGGCTAGTCGCCGACCACACCCACAAAGAACCCTGCACAAAGAGACTAGAGTGGTGTGTGTGTCTCTGGGGGGAGGCGAGGGCCCTAGGGGGTGCCCATGCGGGGGGGAGATGGGGTCCCCCAGCCCGCCGCAGGCGCCGATTTTTTTTGGCATTTTTCTTTTTCGCGCTATTTTTTACTTGTTTTCATGGGATTCGGCGTACTTGCGGCCATGCTATCACGCCTTGCGACATCCTTTCGGCGCTGCTGACCGTGCCATGCTGCTCAACTGACCGCCTGCATAGCTCGCGGCCTTAGTCTTCGGCATTCAGTGACGACCTGATCGTACGGCCAGTAGGAAGGTGTCCTTCCAGCTGCGTGCACGCTTCTGACGCAATGCGCGTCACAAACTGCCTCGGACTGGCTGCTGGCACTCTCGAGGCTATGCCTACACAGCCTCGCGCGCATGGGCAGTCAAGAGGGACCATGCACCTTCTCAGGACAGCGCCGGTGCCTCTCTCTTGGACCGGCAAACGTGGTGGTCTCGTGTCACCGATGTGGGACCAGTGCGGCATCGCGCCATCGACAGCTCTTGAACTGCGCCTCACCACTGACCGGGAAGGCCGCCAAGTGGGTCAGCACCGGTCGCACATTGTGGCAGCAGTCAGCAGCGCATGGCTGATAGCTAGAGCAGCAGCGTCAGGGTCGCAGGGTCGGATCGTGTCAAGCCTCTCGCCCGGCCGGCCGCGTGCAGACGTCGGCCTGTCTGCTGTCTGGAGTGATCTGTCGGCGGTCAGTACGACCGATCAGGTTGGAGTTTTCTGATGGTTGGAGGGTCTATCTGTATGTACTCCTCGAGATCTCTCCAAATCTGCCCTCTGATTAACCTAGCTTAATCGGGAAGTTGGTGCTAGTAGAGACTAGTAGAGCCGGGGCCCCGTTTCCGCACTGCTGCGCGGCGCACGGTGCCTCCGGGGGCCCCCGCCTCCCCCCAGAGGTGTGTGTGCTGTGTGTGTGTCAAAAGAACCCTGCACAAAGACCGCAGGGCGGGGACCTGTTCCTTTTTACCCATCTCCTATAGTAGAGGTGTCCGTTTTATTTATTTATTTGTGTGGTGTGTGCACGTGGTCGCGGCGCGGGTCCGCTCAAACACAGCTGGTGGTCGAAAAGAGAGCCCCGACGGCCAGCCCCGGTGCTGCAAGTCCGTTCAAGTCGACAAGAACACGGAAATCAAGGTGTGTGGTGTCCAAGTTTGCTGCAAATGTTAACAGAAACGACACCCTCTAAGCCACAAGGAACACATCTCTCTCCGTGTTCACAACTCCGTCGTATTGCACCGACCGACCTGCCGCGCTCCGGTGGGGCGGCTGCGGAAGGCGCCGCCCGGCGTGACAGAGCGCGGCGCGTCCTCGCACGTCCTCGACTCCTGCGGGCATTTTCTCGGGGTGGGCGCCGACTGCTGCGGAGGTGTCCGGGGAGGGTGTCTGTGTGCAGCACGGGTGCGGGAAGAGGGCTGGGGCGGGCATGCGCCTCCTCCTTGCGCAACCGCTGCAGCTGAAACTCGAAGAAGTAGCGCTGCCGCAGCCTCGGGTCGAGCGAGGAGGAGAGGTACGGCAGCAGCATGGCGCTCGCCAGAGCGAGCACTCGCCACCTCTCCTTGCGGATCAGCGCGTCGACCAGAGGCGGCGTGGCAGCGCACCCGACGAGAATGGACACCTGGACCCGGCGGAAATTGTGGGAGATTGATGGTTCCGCGGGGCAGCGGGCGCAGGAGGCAGCGCGTCGGAGCGACGAAGTGAGGGGCCAGGGTGGCTTGCGGCAGGGGTGCGAGGCGGCTTCTCGCGCCCAAGTGCGCCGCCACGGGTGCGGCACGTAAATCTCGGAGGCGTCGAGGTGTCCGCTCTGCCTGTGGACGCACACCATGGGCAACTCAGGGAGCCGTGGCACGCGTCTCGGTGCGTGGGCGAGCCCGCTCTGCCGAAAGTTGAACCACGTCGACAGCCCAATCACCTATGGCCGTACGCTACGTTCAACCCCTTCCCTCCCTCGCTGCGTTCGGCACACGCGCGACTCACGTAGACGATGTTGAGCAGCGGGACCCGCTTCCTGCGGCGGACGAGGTGCGAGACGAGCAGCGCCGGCGGCACCGTGTGCAGCAGGTGATCGAGACAGACGAACGTTCGGCGGGATAGCGGCAGCCCCAAGTGCCGAATCTTGGTGCGCATGTTTTCGTCGATGCCCTGCGCCACCGGCATGCGGGTGGGGACGGGACGGGCGCGGCGCGCGCGTTCGCCGACGGCGTTTGTGTCTGCCTGCGCCATCGCGGTGCGGAAGCCGACGAGAATTCCGACCGAATTGACTGCCAGGAACGGATCCCACTGTTTTTGTTTCAGTGCAAGCCGCAGCATGATGAAGATCAGGTTCCAGTTAGTGTACGCGTTGAGCTGCCACTGCGCGGCGTGAGGAAGGGACGGGCTGAAAGCTGGCGGGCGGCGGGCGGCAGCGAGCGACAGGCCGCCACCTGCACAAGGGGTGCGAGCCCAGGAACTCGCTTGCACGCCGCGAGGAGGGAGGCCACAAGCACGCCCAGTGTGAGGTTGAACGGATCACCGGGGAGAAGCTGATAGGGGGGTGGCGATTCGCGCGCCATTGGAGCGGGCACACTTGGGCGCACCGGGCTGTCGGCTGGCTGTTCTGGGGGCAGCCTCTCTCGTTTCAGGCCGATGCACAGCAAAAACTTTTTTTGAGCTTAGCCTTCGATGTTATGAAACAACGCAAGGCGGACATGGCATATCGCTCTCGGGCCCACAGACATCCCGCAACTTTTTTTCCACCGACCGCCAGTGGCCACCGAACGTGCTGCGAACTTGTTGTTGTCCCTTTTGTCCGGAGCAGGAGAACTAGGAGAGCGCAACCAGTAGGAATCCTAGGAGGCCCGCGCCTGCCCCCGTGCCGCCGGGTGCAACCTGTGGCCTATACGAGAGAGGAATCCCTGGCTGGGACCCTCCCTGCCTGTCGTGTGGGTGGGTGAACCCTGCCCAGCCCCGCTCCGTGTCGCGCCAAACAACACGTGGCTCGTGGGTGGTGGGAGCCCGCCGTGGGCATGTGGAACCTTAGCAAAAATCCTACAGAGTGTACAGGAACAGCTCTTCTGTCCATCCAGTCAGCTCTTCCATCCACATATATCTCGGCAGAAACAAACTTCCAGGACCTCATCTCCCGAACCTTCCGTCGAAGACCACCCCGGTTGAGTGCACTTAGAGCCGCTTTTGAAAGAAAGAAAGAGAACGGACAACCCAAGGGAGGGATGGGAGGACGGCACGCCGCCACCACACAGGGATTTTAAGGAGAGGGGTGTGATGCGCTAGCCGTCGCCCACCCTTGGGCGTCCGCCTCTTCCTATCTCTCTTCGCAGTCTCTCGCCGATTCTCGCTGCGACCTTCATGCCACCTCGCGGTCGCCCCCTTCTGAGAGCACATGAAAATTCTCGATCTCTTTCTTCCTTTTAGCATGCCATGCCAGACTCGGACGCCGCTAGGCCTACGAAAGACGATCTCATCGCCGCCTTCCGGGTCGGCTCGCAGGGCGGGCCAGCTCGCCGCAAGTTCGTCGCAGGGCGAGCCATAGCGGCGGCCGACGGCAATGAGAGAGACGTCGATGACCCGCCGCTGGAACTAGCGCCACTGTTGGCCGGTCGGGCTTGCGCTCACCTCTTTTGCGCGCGGCTGCGCCGAGACGGATATGCTCAGCTCGCCCTTCCGCCCGACATGGCGGCGCTGCTGCGGCAGACAGAGGCAGCGGCCGCCGCGTGGTTTGCCGCGCCCGAAGCACGCAAGCTGGAGGAGGCGGGCGCGTATGGGCCTGCGAGCGGGACGCTCGCCGGCTTCGCGCGCGGCCGCAACCGCGAGCAGCTGGAGCTGCGCCTCGTGAAGGGAGGACGAGGACGAGGAGTGTACCCAGCGCTCCGTGGCGGCGACGCGGCGGAGCCTGCGCTGACGCCGCTGGCGGAGCGGAGCATGGCCACCCTCGACCGGGTCGCCCGCGTGCTGCTCGCGCACGTGGCCTCCGACCTCGGAGCCAGCCCTGGCTTCTTCGCCTCGCTCCTCGACCCGCAGCTGCCGGCGGAGGAGGGGGCGGCGGCGGCGGCGGAGGAGGAGGAGGCCGAGGCGGCGATAGAAGCGGAGGAGGAGGCGGCGGCGGCGGCGACATCGAAGGAGGCGCTTGAGGCGCATGCGGGCTGCCCGCCGCTGCGGCACGCGGGCTTTGCGCCCTTCCAGAACAAGAGAGCTGCCGACGCTGAACCGGACGATGTGAGTAGGCATTCGGGCTTGCGGGCTTGCCGGTACAAGAGCGACGCGCCCGGCTTCGTCACTCTGGCCAGCGGGCGGCGGGTCGCCTGCGAGGAGCACAACGACGTCGGCCTGCTGACCCTCGACCCTCGCGCTTCTGTGCCCGGGCTGCAGGCGTTCCGCCAGAGTAGCCGCCGTTGGGTGGATCTGGAGGGGGGGCAGGGGGAGGCGGCGGAGGAGACGGAGGGCCTGCTCACTGTGATGGTGGGGGACACGCTGGCGGCGGTGAGCGGCGGCGCGTACACCTAGATGCGGGACTCAGACCCTGATTCGAATAGGACCCGGGACGACGAACTCGGCTGTTTCGGCCATATTGCAGCCGTATTCACGGTATTCGTACCTTTGGGTTGACGCGAGGCGCCGAACACACATGCCGTGCACATTCAGTCCCCATGCACACACTAGGCGAGTACACTTCGTGCCGCCATCGCGTGCTGGCGCCGGAGGAGGGCGAGGAGCGCGTCGGTTTGCCGTTTCTCTTCCGCTGCCGCGGCGAGGCGATCATCGACACGCGGGAGGAGAGGCGGCGAGCGGCGGCCGAGGGGCGGGAGACGGCACTTGCCGAGCTGCAGGGTAGCAGCGTGGAGGACCTGCCGACTGCCGATTGCCCAGCGGCCCTCGTCAACTACATGGCGTGGCGACGCAGGTATCGAAGCTAACGGGGGGGGGGGGGGGGGGTCGACTATGTGTGAACAATATTGCGCGCGCGTCGCTTCTTTCTGTCAAAATGGATCGTAAAATAAGATCGCCGGTCGAATTGGCATGTTTTTTGAGCCGCGCCTCTCTTTCGCGCCGTCCGTCAAAAGCTCGCGCAGACCGGCTTCCTCGTTCCTGAGCCAGCCATCATGCAACCAAGCTCGTTCATCGTAGCAGCGACGTTTCTCCTCTCGAGTGGCGCTGCGTCGCCTCTACCACTTCCGGCAGCGATTTCATCTCGGCCAACATCCCACAACATCGATCCTGACGTCAATGCGCCTACAGGCCAGGGAGAGAGCGGAGGCAGCAGGCGAAAGCTGGAGGTGGACGTTGAGCGGGTCGGAGAATACCTCCGGGTGATCGAGCCGGGCATTCTTGCGACGGTCGCCCTGGGCGCAAGCATCTTTTTTCTCATCATTTGCTGCACGACGTTCGTGATATGTTGCCTGAGCGTGCCCCTAGTGGCCTGGGTCGGCTATTGGCCAGCCACCAACGGATCTCCCTGCTCGAACAAGACGTGTGGCTGCTCGGTCATGTGATGCCGCCTAGACCACCACGCTCCTCCTGCTCTCAGAGATACAGATCTCCATCGCGCATCTGGGGGGGGGGGGGGGGATTTTGGTGGGCTGAGAGGGGGCCGCGGGCGATAGCCAGCACGATGAATTTGCCCCGCGACTTTCGTCGCCTCAAGAGGTGTGCAACGGGGGTTCCTCTGTCTTTTAACAAACCATTCACACGGGGGTTCCTCTCGCGGCGACGAGGACGTCCTTTTAGGGTGGAACCACACAAGGGCGAGGGCGAGGGTGTTAACAAAAATGGCCCCGAATGGTTGCCCAGGTTACTCAGGACACGATCCCGGCGTAAACACAACTAACTGACGGATCCGCTCCTGACGGCCGCACGCGCCGCGCTGCGGCGCGCGTGCCACTGGAGTACCACCTCAAGCATTCGTGTGCAGCGGCACAGTACTAGTACGTGTCCCTGTTTTCGGGCCGTGCTCGTTCAGATGTGGCAGCGCCCCCCTCCTCCTCGCTCTCCTCCCCTTCCTCCTCCTCCTCCACGCTGTCCGACTCGGACGCCTCGCCCCCCCCCAAAGTCCTCGTCCTCCGACTCGTCCTCGCCCTCACCCTCGCTCGCACCAGCCTCGCCGCGCCGTTCGAGCTCGGCTCTCGACGCCTCGCGGCTTGAGTGAGGTACCGTTTGATTGCTCGGGGGCAAGAGTGGATACCCATCACTGAGCCGACGATGCTATGGGTAGCCCCAGGGTGGCGCCCACCCCCATACCCTCAGGCACACGAAGGCGACGGCGCTGATGGGGGTGGGGAAGGCGCAGGCAAGCAGACGTCGACCAACGATCCACCGTAACCAAATTCAGTCCCCACGTCAGAAACGCAGACAAGGGATCCAGACAAACCGTGTCAGTCAGCAGAGTCCTCCTACGGGAATGTACGTAAGAGCCACATACACTGAAAAAATCAGGGTACAGGGAGCCTCAGAGAGTGCCACTGCCACCATCCAGGCCGCGGGAGCCGATCGGCTGCGCCGAGGACAGCTCCCGCAGTGTGCTCCGCGGCTCACCAGTGTGCGCCGCGGCGCCGTCCAGCCACTTTGGCGGCCAGCCACCGGACGAGTTCTTCGACTCTGGAGGACAGAAAGGTACCGTCTGAAAGGTATTTTCATGCTCTATTGACTGGCGCAAAAAAATCCCCGCCAACTGTTTCAGCGGGCGTGATTCACAGCCTTGTTATTGAGAAGAAAATACCTCCTATGGCGCTGTGCGCTGGCCTGTGAGAGGTTGAAGTGCGAGCCCTGGAGGCCCTTCACACCGAAGCATGAGTGAAGCATCGGGCGCCACTCGAGGAAGGCCTTGTGCTAATGACAGTGCCAACCCTTGCTCTGAAATCAGCGCTGGTGGGGTTCGTGCTGTACACTGCGTACGCTGGCACGATGCGGACGCGTGAGTCTGCGCTGAGTTACCGCCTGTCCCGCTTCTATGAGGCGCACGGCATCGACAAGCGGCAGCCGGACACGCGCAAACTGCTGCACCGACACGGCTCCGTTGAAGGAGTCGAGCGGGAGTTGCGCAAGAAGTACGGCGATTGGCTGCCTCCCGAAGACCTCTCGGTCCTCCCTCTGGCAGACGACACGGTCGGCACGGCCGTCTACCTCTTGTCTGGCGCGCTCGCCGATCGCGCGCCGCCTTGGCTGTCCCAGCTGAGTGATGCGGATTGGAAGCGGCTGCCCGGTGCGGGGCTGGTGCAGCGGTGGGAGGCTGCGCCGACAGCGGCGCGCCTCGGCTACTCCGCAGTAGGCTGCAGTGCACTCCGACTGGCACTGCCCGAGTCGATGCGGTTGCCCGCGCTCCTCTCCTTCGGTGCCCTTGCATGGTCGGTTCGGCCGACGCCGGAGGAGCTGTCTCCCGCCTCGCTGTGGCGCGAGCTGGTCGCCACGTGGGAGGGCGGCGCCTCCGCGCCGGAGGAGCCGCGCGCCCTCCCCCGGCGCCTTGCAATTTGCAGCGGCGTCGCGCTTGTCGTGGCGGCGGCGGCAGGGCCTTCCCACTCGCTGCCGGTTCTCTTGGCGCTGCTGCTCGCCGCGCTGTGCGTGGGCGTGCCGGAGACGGCGGACACGTGGGAGAGCATGCCCGTCGTCGCGCCCTCGGCGCGGTCCGCGCTTCGCAGCGCTCTGAAGCAAAAGCCCGACCTCCTGCAGCAGCACGAGGTGGAGACGTTCCGAGACGCCTCCGAGAAGCTCTCGTACGCCTTCGGGGCCCACGCGTGCCCGCGCCCTCGCTCTCAGGTGGGCGTGCTCGCGTACGTCACCATCGATGCCGAGCACACGGGCTGGCAGGCGCCGCTCCTCGCAATCGGCGCGCTCGGCCGCTGGGTGCCGCTGGGCACGATCTCGGCCACCGGCGCTGCGGACGGCCAGAGAAAGCTTGAGGTGTCTGGCCGGCTGCTCCCGGCCGCTGCCATTCCCGCCGCCCTCTTTCTGCTCACCGGCCTTGCCGCCGCTCTCAACAGCGATGGGCACCTCTCCCTGCCTGCGCGGTCCGCGCGCGCGGCGCTACTGCTCTTCTCGTTGGCCAGCATCGTCGCGGCCGCTGCCACGTGGATGTAGCAGGGATGTGGCTCGGCGCACGGCGATGTGCTGCTTCAACTGCTGGCGGATGGCGGCGAGGCGGCACGCGCGGTTCCCGCCAGGGCAGAGCTTCCCATCGCAACGCGGCCACGCCTGCGGCCCCTGGCGTCGCGAGTTGACAGTTTTGTCGGCCCTATTCATTTTATCGTTTCACACAAGCGGCCGCCGGCGCGGTACACACACAGAGTTCGCGGGCTGAGGGCCCACCGGCACCGCAGCAGGCGCTCTGCCGCTCTCTCAAGTGCTCTCTCAGTCTCGGACTCGCACATCATGACCCACATCTCACAACGCCTTGTTCATAAACTTGCGCTTCGAAAAGGCGATCCACAGCTTTGAGGGCGGGCCGTTGTCGCCGTAAACCTCGGGAGAGGGGAGGGGTCGGAGTCGCGGTCAGGGGGGTGGAGTGGGCGGGATGCGCGGGGTGCGTCGCAGCAACCTTCAGAGCCAGCCGCCGGCCCAGCTCCTCTCGCGCTTGCTTGAGGTACGCGCGGCAGAGGTCTGCGATCCGGCGCGGGGGACTCTTCGGCGGTCGGAAGAGTGGGCGGCTACTCGGGGAGACGCGATGCGCAGGCGGCGGTGGGGACAGGCCGATCACAGCGCCGCCAACAGCGCCGACCCGCCCGCGTCCGACCCTCCGGGGCCGGGAGGTGGCGTTGCGCACCGAGCTCTGCCGGGCTTGCTCCGGCGGGGAAGAAGGAGGCGAGGGCGAAGCGCGGCTCGCCCGGCGCACTGAAGGCCTCGTGCGCCAGCGCCGTCAGCGCCTTGACGCCGTCCGTCTGCGTGGCGGCGGCGCCCGGTCCCCGAGAGCGTGGATGGTGTGTCGCTGCAGTGCGGCCAAGGGCCCAAGAGCGCAGGTACGATGCGTCTGAGCGAGCTGTGACCCCGTCGCGCGGCCCGTGGCGGCACAGCGCGTGGGAGCGGCGCGGAGTGTGGCACCTGCGTCGGGCACGTCTCCAGCCGTTTCAGGCACTGCGTCGTGTAGAGCGTCAGGTAGATTAGAGTTCGGTCCGCCGCGCCCTTCACCTCAAAGTGCTTGAAGAGGACGTTGGCTTTGAAGTAACCGAGCGTCTCGTCGACGATATCTTCCTCACCTGCGGCCCGGCGAGGCTGACTGCGGAAAGGCTGAGCCGGCGGCAGGCGCCGGACGGCGGAGTGCACCTTCTGCCGCCGACTCGGCAGGCCCGCGGATGCTCGTCTTGAGGGGCAGGATCGCACAGCCGCAGGCAACCTCGGTCTCCGTGCCGTTGAGGCTCGAGTGGTAGACCTGTAAACAAACGATTGACGCGGTGAGACCAGCGAATCAATGCCACGCGGCTGACGGGGCGCAAGGTGAACGACCATGCAAATGGCAACCGCCTTTGAGCAGGCGCTCGGCGAGAGCGGGTGCGCAGTGAGTGCTCCGATTTTTTTTTGTTTTTATCTCGTGCGCTGCTCACTCACTATACACTGAGTGGAGAGAGTGCAGGCTTGACCCCAGTTGGGCCACGGTGACTAGGTGTGAACGGGGGAGTTCGGTATTCACAGTCGTTTACACTGAGGGAGCAATGGCTATTATTATTCGGGTTGCTTTGCCGTCATCAACATCATTCAGGGCGGCGTCCTACCATGGCGACTCAAGTCAATTATTAATATTGCTGGTGTCCGCCGTGCGAGGCGCCGTTCCACTTCGGCGCCGCCGGTCTGGCGCGGTTTCCTATTTGCAATTATTGCACGCCGCGCCGCCGTTGGGCGAACTTATCGGCAGCAACTTATTGGCGCGGTTTTCGCGATGTCTCTCTTAGCTCTGGGTCGCAATAGGAGATCCCAGGCGGGAGCAGAGCCAGAGGCCAGTGGCCTCGATTCTCTGATGGGCTGGGCCTACACTACGATCGAGTTCACGTTATTCCTCTGGTCGATCGCCGTGGGCCTCGCTTATGACGGTCTTGCAGCCCTTCTCACTAGCCGGGTCTACCGTGCCGGGGCTGGGGCAGTCCTCCTCTACCTGCTGGGTACCACCCTGATTGAGCTGGTGACAAGCGGTGACGGGGGACCTGAGCTCCTCTTCTTCCTCAGGATGGCCGTCTTCGTCTACTGTGTCGGCTATCAGGTTCGCGCACTCTGTGACTACACCCCTGTCCGCGTCCTCCTCCTCCTCAGTGGAGGGTACCCCTTGTTCCGCCACGGGGCGGCGGCGATTGCCGAGCCGTTCCGGGACTACGCGGCGATGGGCCCTTATGCAGGTGTGCTCCTCACCTTCTCCGCCATCTACCTCGCCACGCGCTCCATGGGGCGGCACGTTGGCTACTTCATGGACACGTACATCAAGACGTACGTGCTTGAGACCCGGATCGATTCCCTGCTCCGCCGAGTCCGTGGAGGCGGTGCTCATGCTGACGAGCCTTCAGAAGAGTCGGTCTCCCTCCTCCACGCCTCTCTCCGAGCCCGCGGTGGCCTGCTTTGCACGCTTTCCGTCGCCGTTTACCAGTACGGCCTTGTCATGATCCCGCTACTAGTCCTCGGGGGGCTCGGGGGAGTCGGCGCTGTTTGCCCTTCGTGTGGCAGCTCGATCGCATCCTGCACCTACGACACAGATCAACGGTGCCCGACCATCACCATTGTCGCGACCAACGCGTCGGCGATGGCAGGCGTCGGAGTCGTGAGTACCGTCACTCTTGCCACCCTCATCCGGCCGCGCTACCTGCGCATCTTTGGGACGAACGCCCTTCAGGCCCTTGTGGCGATGCGCCGCCGCCCAGCCGCGGGCACGCCCTTCTCCATCACTGCCGATACCTCCAAGGGCGATATCGTCCAGGCCATCTCCGCCGGACGCATCTGCCAGATGGAGGCAGTCGAGCAGCTGGCCCAGCAGCTTTCTGGCGTCGAGGCCGAGGAAGAGGGGGAAGAGAAAACCCGAAAGCTTGCGAACATTACCCGCAGCCTGGACCTCCTGAGGACGCTCAAGGAGACTGCAATCCCTGACGCCGGGGGGTCCGAGCACGGTCCAACCGTCCCAACTGGGGATTATACCTTCACTTTCGCCAAGGTGAGCCGGGAGGTGGCTGACGGCGTTGCAAAATCGTCAACCACTGCGTCGCTCAACGCCGGGACGACCACCACGCAACGGGCGACCTCAGTTCACAGTGCGCGCATCGTCTACCCGAAGACCGAGTCGGAATTTGGGGCCGCACTCAACCTGTGGCTGATGATTTCTTCTGGACTGGGCACGTCACCCACCGAGCTGACTGCTTTCCTGCAGTACGTCGTCTACGAGACGATCCTCGATCGCGGACATCCATGGCAGCTTGCTGTGTGTCTATTCGTCGCCTTCATTCGCAAGGTGGAGGAGTCTGGCGGGGCGCTCTCCCTGCGCAAGGCAACCGAGGAGGTCTATCTCGCCGGCATGATGGATGAGGCGCGCCTCATTCTCGCGGCCGTGTACCCCAACGTGCAGGAGTCCGCCTTTTTTCGTACACGCGGCGGGGAGCCGCGGTCCGGGGAGACAGGCAACACCGCAAAGAAGTGGAATGGACGCTTTTCGAGTGATGGGGCCCCTTGCACAGCTTGGAACTTGGGCAAGGCGCATGTGCCGTCGATGCTCAAGCCAGACGGGACATGCAAGCACAACCACGTGTGCGACCAGTTCGTCACCGACCAAGGCAAATTCGGGCGGTGCGCGGGCAAGGTGGGCCCTGCGGGCCATAAGCGCGCTGATTGTCCTAACCCCAACAAGTGCAGCACCCCCCACAAGGGCTGAGCCCTTCGGGGTCCGGCTCATGGAGGAGCTGACTGCGCGGGCGCAGACGGGCTATGCTTGCGAGCTGCCCGGCTTCGGCATCCGCTTTGACAACTTTGTACCGGTTTGTAACATGCGGATATAACCAAACGACCCTGTTCACAACCGCAAGTTACCGTTGACCGACCGGTACCCTCCCCACTCCCGCCTCTCATTTGTGTCACACCACGCGGAACGCATCTCCATCGCTCTTCGGGTGAAGGGGGTGAACCGTGCCATCCTCGATCGCCGTGCAAAGCTCGCTTCCGAGCTCTCACGCCGCGCGTAGGGCCCTTAGGGGCCTAGAGAACACAACCCCCTCTCCCTTTTCTCCCAGTAAGCTAAAAGTACACATAACTGCAGCCTACCGATTCATGGCCGCTAGCGATTTTTACGCGCACAACAAACTTTTGCGCGGAGGGGGGCAAAAAGATACGAATATCTTTTTTTCTGACGCATCTCTCCACAGTCTCTTCTTCACTCTCACACACTTGACGGTGACTGGCCCGTACTGTCTCGGAGGCCCCTCCATGTCCCGGTTGTCGACCGCAAACTCAACGACGCGCCCGCTCCGCATCGTGCGCTCACTCATCGTCGTCGTCGCCGCCTGCGTCCCTGCGACACGTCCACCCTCTCCGGCATCCGCCTTTCAGCGCGATCCACCCTGGCCAACCACTTGCTTGTGGGCTGAGAGTACAGACTGTAGAGCAGGTCTCGCACCACACCACCCGGCACCTCGAAATCACCGAAGGCCGCCGGCGACGCGAGCTCGCTCACAGCTCCCGGCACGTACAGCCGCCCTCCCGGACAGTACCATCTGGCAAAGACCTGCTTCGCAGCCCGCATAATCGCAATGTTCACCGCATCGCCTCGCCCAAGCAAGGCGACGGCCGTCGCGTTCTGCGCGTCGCTGTACCACTTGCGGAATGAATTTGCGCTCGCCGTGATCGCTGACACATCGCCACCGATCGCAGCGATTGCGCCTGTGACCACCGTCCGCAGCTCACGCACCAGCTCCACGCTCACACCCTCGCGTCGGAACTCATTGAAGTAGCCGCCCATCGGGAAGGTGTCCTCGCCCGGAACACCCGTAGCCACCCGCCGCCCGACTGCGTTGAAAAGGCGGGCAACATCCGTCTCGGTGATGCACGAACGCTTGCTCTCGTCAATCACGCTCAGACACGCGCGCGCCCGTTTGCACAATGTAGAACGACTGGATCACCCCCAGCACGCAGTCCTCCCGTCGAAGGTAAGAAGCCGCGCCAGTGTACTGCTCAAGCTGCTCTGTCTCCCACCGCACCAACGCGTCTGCGCGCGTCCGCTCGAACACTCTCTGCGCCGCTCGCGGCACGGAGGCCGTCCCAACGCCCAGTGCGTTCAGCGACCTGCCCTGGTACTCCTTGGCACGTTGAGCACGCCGCGCCGCCTCCCGCCCATTGGCGTCGGCATCCCGCAACTGCGCCTTTGCTTCACCACAGTGACCGCACTTCGTTGATCGTGAATCATTGGAGTGGGAGTGGTGTGACTGCTCCTGTGGTGGGGGCGACGGCGGAAGCCGTCGCCCGCAGCCGCGCCTTGCCTGTCGCGCGAATCTACAACTACATCCGCCGCGGGACGAACTGCCTGCGTTGTAGAGCAATGCCAATGTAGAGCGCGATTTTGCTGTAGAGTTTGTTGTAGAGGCTCTACAGCCAAACCGCCGGGAAGGCAGTGACTCAAAGAGGTCGAGCCGCGCTAATTGGGTGTCTCCGAGCTTACTGGAGCTCTGATGGACGGCCCTGACTATCCCTGACACACAGAGAGTCACTCTGACGGCACACAACACCCTATAACTGCGTCATGACCAGCCTGCCATGTGTCGCCGGTGCCGCATTCGTCGCTGTGCTTCAGGCGGTGGGCTGTCGGCTGCGAAGCGGTCGCATTTGCGCAAGGCGAGGCGAGCATTGCTGCGCGTTGCATGCGCCATGAGTCGCGCCAGCGCGTGCGGGAGCTCCTGGCTGAGCGTTGAGTCCAGGCGAGTTGCGCTGGCCACTATCGCTACGCCGAGCCGAGCTGACGCGCCGAGGCGCCTGCCAGTCGCAGCCGTGAGGCATGCCACAGCAGCAGAGGCACCTGCCACCCATTGGTGCTTGTGCGTCTTGGGTCCGGGGTGTGTTGCAAGGACGCACGAGCGAGCGAGACAGAGCCATGACGATGATGATTCAGCGCGTGAGCGCCAACTCGCCGGCACAGGCCCTGAAAAGCCGCGCACGCGGGCCGACGATTGCGCAGCTGCGTGCCAAGCAGGCCGCTCTTGTGGCCGCAGCCGAGCTCGCAGCTTCGAGTGATGCCGAGGCGAGTGTGGCAAGGCCGCCCGTTGACGAAGCCAAGCGGTGGGCAAGCGGCAAAGGCCGCAAAGTGGGCTTCGCATAAGCTCGGGCCACTTTCCGTGGCGGCGGCACGGGAATCGCGGCGACGGCGGCGAAGCACGACTCGCTCATCAAGAAGGCCCGCTGGCGCGGCACCGAGCCCATCGCCCGCGAGACTTCGGCGGGCTCTCTGTCCGCGTTGTGACGATGCCGCACCGCAAGGATTCGCCTCCGGCAAGGAGCACCAAGTGAAGTTCAACCTGTGGCTGGGCAAGGTGCTCAACGGGGCGGTGAGGGAGCCAGAGCACCTCCCTCGGCCGGGCTCACGCGTGTGTGGATCCCTGTATCGGCGAGAAGCTCGACGCGCTCCCAAAAAGGAGGTCTTCACGAAGATCAACCAGTCCGCCGCCGCCGTCGTCGCCGAGGTCAAGAAGATCGCCAAGGCGGAGCCGGCCGCCAGCGGCCAGTCGCCCGCGACCGGCAAGGCGAAGAAGGAGGAGGCCGCGACGCCGGCGCAGAAGCGCCAGGCCGCGGCCGTCGCCTCGACGTCGAGCGGCGCACGCCGGTTCGCGTTCGCGTGCCTGCGCGCAAGTCCGACTGAGAGCATGCTCTGAGTCAAAGTGCGCCGCCGCCCGCGCACTCGCTCGCACGGCTTCCGTGCAGTGGTTGTGTCGAGCTCGTCCTCCTCGAGTAGCGACGTCGCCGATGACGACAAGCCGCTCGTGTCACATGCTGTGAGCTTCATGCGTAGACAAACCGACGCGTGCCCTGTGGGCAGGTGGAAGTGTCGGAGCCGGTTCACCCCGCGACCGGTCTGACAATGGAGCAGACCTACTTGCAATTCGGTGGGGGGCCGGACCCTCAGGACGATTGCTGCAGCACGTAGTCGTAGACGGGGGGAGATATAGGCACGATAGTGTCGCGCGGCTCCATCTCTCTACCCCTCGGAAAAAGGGTGAATGTCCTCTGTGTGAGCTTTCCTAGCAAGCCTCTGTTTCTTTTCCCTCCGCCGTGTCACACGCAGCGTGTGAGCTTCGCCCCCCGGGGCGCGCCCCACCTCACCTGCCTTGAACCAAACCCGCCCTCTCGTGGGGCTTCCTCGAGGTCTGTAAGAAATGGAGCATTCCGCCCCTCCCGGTGACCAACGGCAGGCTCACCTGGCTCTGCTGCAGCGACAGCACCACGTCCAGATGCTGCAGCTGCAGCTGCAGCAGCAAAAGACGATGCTTGCCGCGCACAACGCCGGTTCTTCACCTCCAGACATCGAGGCGTTGCGCCTCGCCCACGCGCAGCAGGGTGCGCAGATGGCGTACGCGCTGCAGACTCAGATGGCACAGGCGTGTGCAGCGCTCGGGCTGCCGCCGCCATCTCCGACAGCCGCGGCGCAGCCCGTCCTGGCACCCCCACCTCCGCACCCAGCACAGCAAGCGGAGGAGCAGCGGAGGGCAGCGCGGCAAAAGCAGGAGGAAGAGGCGCGCGCGGCGGCGGAGGCGGAGGCGGCGGCCAAGGCGGCGGCGAGGGCTGAGGCGAGGCAGCGCGATCGTGAGGAGGCGGCGGTGGAGAAGGCGGCTGCCGAGAAGGTGGCGCGTGCGTATTCCGACCGCCACTCCGACCGCCACGCACCCCACAGCCGCGACGCTTCCAGCGCCCATCATCCCGTCCGCCGCTCCTCTTCCACCACCGACCCCCCCCCCCCTCCCCCCCCTCCCCCCCTTCCCCCTCCCCGTCTCATCCTTGGCTCGTGCGCAGGCGGCGGCGGAGAGGGCGGCGGCAAAGGCGGCGACGGAGGCGGCGGAGGAGGAGGAGTACCGACAGCGCGTCCAGGAGCAGCTGGGGCGGCAGGCGCGAACCGCCGTCCACTGCGCCACGACCCATGGGCGCCGCCCCACCTCCTTGCCCGCCGGTAGGCGGAGGAGTCGGACGAGCAGCGCGAGCAGCGCGAGATCGAAGAGAGGAGAGCGAGGCGGGCCGCCATAGCGGCAAGGCACGCGGCGGAGAAGAAGGCGGCGCAGGAGGTGGCGGCGGCAGCCGCGGCAGCGGCGGCGGCATCGGCGGAAGCGTCAACGGAAGCGGAGGCGCCAGCGGAAGCGACAACGGCGGAAGCGGAAGCGGAGGCAGCGCCGGCGACGGAGGCGGCGGCGGCGGAGGCGGAGCCGGCCGCAGCGGCGGCAACGGCTGCCACCGCTGCGGCTGAGGCCGAGGGCGGGGCGAAGGACGCGGAGGCGGGTGCAGCGGCGGGTGCAGCGGCGGCCGTGGAGCAGCGACTCGCCGAGGAGGGACGGCGGGCTGCGGAGAAGGAGACGCAGGCAAGACGCTCGCGCCCCCCCCGCCCCCCCCCCCTCTCCCCCCCCCCTCCCCACCCCCCCCTGCGTCTCCCTCGCTCCGAACCAGCCCCATCATCCGCTCCTGGCCTCCCGAACCGCAGGCCCGCGGCGTCCTCTACTCGTCGGTGGCAGACGCAAAGGCCAAGGCGCGCGAACACGTGCACATGCACATGCACATGCACATGCACATGCACATGCACATGTGCATGTGCATTGACATGTGCATGTGCATGTGCACGTGCATGTGCATGTCCCTCTCTAGCATTCATGTTCAGCGGTATTCGACTGTATTCGAACGGCCGCAGACCACGCGATGCGCCGAGTGTCAGCTCCCCGAATCCACACACCAGGCGCGCGAGCGCGACGAGGACGAGGACGAGGAGGGCGAGCGTGCGAAGCGGCAAAAGGAGAGTTCGCCGCCTCGTTGGCAGCTGAAAGCATCGTGGGAGACCTCGAGGTCGGGGCGTGTGACTAGGCGGCTGGCCATATGCGGATGAAGCCGCGTTGCGCTCTGATCGGAGGCAGCGCGCCCGCCGCCACCGAGCACTCCGGAGAGCCGAACGGCGCCTCGGGCAACGACGGAGCGAACGACGGGCCGGGGCTCTACGACGAGCTTTGAGGGAAGGCGAACGCGCCGCCTGGCCGGCAGGGGGCTTGGCCGTGGCCCGCGTTCCCGCCCGCCCAACTAACGTACCTTAGTACGACGTAGCGTCTGCACGATCGATGTCGGCGAATGCGCGCCTCCCCGCGGCATCTTAGGTGACGCGAGAAGTGAGTGGCAGGAGCAGTGCCACGGCCCGCTGTAATCGGTCTTTAGTCGATCTGCGGCCGGGTGTGCACTGCTCACTGACCAGGCACACGTAGTAGGTACTCGTTGCGACGCGAATCCTTATTTCCATTGGGTGCTGTAACAGGTAACAAGTAACATACGTAGGGCGGCGCGCGTGAAGACCGCATCATGGGCGGGGACCCGGTGCCCGGTGGAGGTTTCCGGGGAGCACTCTTTGAGTCTTGTGTCTTGACTCTTGTCTTCTCGTTGGTGTGAAAAAAAACTGAACCGACGGCGGGCAGCGGCCAGCTTCCCTGCATTGCCTCGCCTGCGCTCAAAAGGGTCGATGTTCGGCCGCATTCTACGATCGCAAACGGCGCGTGTTGCAACCGCGACCACCGTTGCCGCGTCGACCGCCATCGCCGCCGCCGCTCGCTGCGAAGCTGCGCCAGACAAGGGCAGCGTACCAACGTTCACGCTCGGCGGGAACCGCTACGACCAGTCCTCGTTCACTGGCCGGCTCGCTCATTTTCGCGAAATGACCGATCCCAAGACCCTGCTGACGACGCAGGCCGAGCTCGTGGAGGCGCAGGCGCTGCTGGCGGCGTACGAGAAAGGGGACGCGAAGAACGCCAGCGACGCGGAGCTTTGGGAGGCAAAGCGCATCGTCAGCGCGATCATCCACCCGACCACGGGGGAGCAGATGTTCATCGGAGGTCGCATGAGCGCGTTTGTGCCCGCCAACGCCATTCCGACCGCCGGCATGCTGCTGGCAAGTTCGCCGTCGCAAATCGTATTCTGGCAGTGGATCAACCAGTCTGTCAACGTGATGGTCAACTACGTCAACCGATCCGGCGCCTCGGTCGACTGGTCGCAGGTCGGCCAGGCATACGCGCTCGCCGTCGGCGTCTCGTGCTCAATCGCGGTCGGCGCGCGCAAGCTGGTCGAGAACGGTCCGCCATGGATCAAGCGGCTCGGCATCGCCGTGCCGTACGTGGCCGTGGTCAGTGCGGGCGCAGCGAACGTCGGGTTCACGCGGCTGCCCGAGATGCAGGGCGGCGTGCCGATTACAGCGCCGGACGGCACGCCGCTCGGCGTGAGCAAGGCGGCAGCTCAGTCCGCAGTCATTAACACAGTCCTGAGCCGCAACCTGCTGCTGCCGATCGCACCGATGCTGCTGCCGCCCATCGCGAATGGGATCCTCAAGTCGGTGGTGCCGCTCGGCTTCTACGCGTCCGCCGTCGCCGAGTTTGTCTTCGTCTGCTGCTCCATCTACGGCGCGCTGCCCATGGCGATCGCGGTCTTTCCACAGGAGATGAAAATCGACGTCGGGGTGCTCGAGCCCGAGTTCCAGGGGCTCAAGGGTAAAGACGGCAAGCCGATCGCGTACGTCCTCTGCAACAAGGGCCTGTAGCGGCCCGCGTGCGCACTCACGCTCGATCACGCCTTCCACCCGGGGATATACGGGCTCTAACTCTGGCACTTTTTTGAGGACTGCGCGCAGGCCGCACAGGACAGCTTCAGCACCAGAACCAGCATGCCCGGCCCCGGAAAGCTTGCATGCCCCCGTGCCCCGAAAGGATGAAGAACTTGTACGTTAGTAAAAAAGACGAGGCGCGAGTAGAAGAGAGAAACACCACGAGGCACTCTGCAGCCGCTCGCAGTCACGCGAGTCAAACTGCGCCAGATAGCTATGTACGGACCCTCGGACCCACCCGTCTTTCGCCCTCTCAGTCTCAGTCTCACTCCAGCCGGCTGTCAACCTCTCGAATGCTCGAACTTACTTCCATCCATGCGCCTCGCGCCACTCAATAATCTGGTGCCGCATGGCATGGTTGGGCAGAAGCAAGGCCAGGTCAAGCGCCGCGCCTGTCTTTGGGCTCGTGAGTCTTGTCGCGAACCAGCGCTCGACGGCGTGCCGCTCGTACGTGTGCCCGTCGGTCGCCATGACGGGGTCCTGCATCAGCTCCTGGGTGATGGGACACACGAAGATCTCAGGCGGCTCGGGCAGCGGTGACGCCTCTTGCGCCTCCCCCGCCTCTCGGACCTGTCCGCTCCCGTCCTCCTCGGCCGAATCTGCCCCCGCCCCCGCCGCCGCCCCCACCTCCGCCTCCACCCCCACCCCCGCCCCGTCCGCCCCCGACGGAGCGGTGCTGGACGGTCCAGCCGCGCCGCTTCCGCCACCCTTGCCCCTCTTCTTCTTCTTCTTGGCCTTCCTGCTCCCCTTGCTCTCCTTGGCGCGTTCCGCCTCCGCCTCCGCCTCAATCTCGGCCAGCAGCGCCTCACCGCACCGCGCGGCATCCGCCTCCCTCGAAGCGTTCAAGGCGGCCAAGTGCTCCTTGACCACAGCCGCGGCACCGCACTTGTCTTTTGGCAAACTCTTGGCCATCTGCAGCGCTGTCTTGCCCCTCGAATTGCGAGCCTCTGGGTCCGCACCGGCCGCCAGCAGCAGCCGCACGACGGCAGGGTGGTCGAACATGACGGCGAGAAACAGCGCGGTGCCGCCATCGTTGGGCCGTCGGTCTACCTCTGCTCCCGCCTTGAGCAGCTTGTCAGCCAGCCCCTCGTGACCGGTGTGCGCCGCGTACATCAGAGCGGTGAAGCCGTTTTCGTTCTGCTGGTCGACGCTAGCACCACGCTCCAGCAGCGTGTCGACCAACCGCTCGTGCCCGTAGATGGTGGCCACCATCAGCAGCGTGACGCCGGCCGCTTCGCCGTCCACGAAGCCCTCGTTGATCTGCCCGCCGCTCTCGATCCATGCCAGCGTCCTCTCCTCGTCCGCCTCCTTGCCTCGCCTGACGGCGGAGACGACATCGAGTGGGATCTGCTTGGTCACGATGTCCCTCTCCTCTGCCTCTGCCCGTCGCGCGGCCGCCTTCTGGCGCTCCTCCGCCGAGTCTGCCGCGGCCTTCTTCTCAGCCTCTGCCCGGCGCTCCTCCGCCTCGGCCTCGTCCGCCAGGTTGCGCGCGCTCTCGTCCCCCGTCAGCCCTTTGAGGTGCTCCTTGAAGATCTCGACGCATGCGGTATGGCCTCGGCGGTTGGCCATGGACAGCGCGGTGCGGTCGTATTCGTCGCGCCAGTCCAACTTGGCGCCCGCTTGCAGCAGGCAGCACACGGTGCCGGGGTGGTTATAGTAGGCCGCATTCATCAGCGCAGTTGCGCCGTCGCTGGCGCGGTGGTCCACCGCGGCGCCGCGCCCGAGCAACGTGTGCACAATGTGCTCGTGCCCCTTGGTGGCGGCGTACATCAGCGCGGTGCCTCCGGTGGTGTTCTCCAGGTTGACCTCGGCGGAGTGGTCGAGCAGCGTCTCCACGATTCGCCCGTGCCCTTTCGTCGCGGCCGCCATCAGCGCGGTGCGGCCCTCGCTGTCCTTGAGATCGACCGTAGCGCCTCGTTGAATGAGAATGTCGACCATGTCCGCGTGCCCCCACTGCGACGCAATCATCAGCAGCGTGAGGCCGGTCGCGGTGCCGTCGTTGAAGGTCGCGTTGATCTTCTGCCCGCCCCCATCGAGCGATTCCCGCACCGCCGCCTCATCGCCCAGCGTAGCAGCCTCTGCGACAACGTCCCCCTCCCCCGTGGTTGACCCCTGCCCCGTGCCTCCCCCCCCTCGGCTGAGGAGGTTGTCAAGCACCCGGGCGCTCTCTTTGCTGCCCTTCTCCGTGGCGAGCTCGAGCGCAGTCTCGCCATCGATGTTGCGCTTCTCTGGGTCCGCGCCCCTCTTCAGCAGGTAGCGCACGACCTTGGGGCGGTTGAAGAGTGCTGCGAACATCAGCGCGGTGCGGCCGAACAGCGAGTCTGGCAAGTCGATATCAGCGCCCTGCTGCAGCAGCTGCTTCACGATGGGCACGCACCCCTTGATGGCGGCGTACATGAGCGCAGTAATGCCCTTGCTGTCCTGCATGTCGACCGTCGCGCCGTGCTCCAGCAACATCTCGACGATCGCCTCGTGTCCGAGCGCGGCGGCGAGCATCAGCAGCGTGACGCCAGTAGTCTTGCCATCCGAGGTGGTGTACGTCTCGTCAGTTTCCACGCCTCTCTCGAGGAGCGCCCGCACTCTCTCCTCGTCGCCACATTCAGCCGCTTCCACGATACCCGTGCCGACCTCGTCAAGTATCAGCTGGCGCCCAGATGCACCCGCCGCCACGTCCGCCGACCCCACCTCCGCGGCCTCCGCAATCGCCGCCTCCGCCCTTGCCTCCGCCGCCCTCGCCGCCTCCTCCGCCCTCTCCGCCTCTGCCGTCGCCTTCGCGTCCCTCTCCGCCGCCGCCGCCGCCGCCGCCGCCGCCCTCGCCGCCGCCGCCACCATCGGACGCGCTGTGATTTTTTTTTGATCGTCCTTGGTACCATGGTTTTCTTTTTGTGAAAGAAAAGTTTTGGCGCGAACCTCTGAGAAGGTGCAGGCGTGCGAGGGCGCAATCTGCGTCGTGCGGGGCTGCTGGCTGGGGGCTCACTTGTGTTGTACGGCTGCTGTTTTCTCAGGGCGCGGGGGGTCGCGCAGTGCGTGAGCCGCGCGGGCGTGTGTGTGAGTGTATTGTTGCACAGAGTCAGAGAGAGATTTTTAGCAATACCAAACAAATCTAACACTCACACGTCATTTGGGGCCTGGAGCCCTGGCAAAATGATGGCCCTGTTTGTTTGTCAGAGTCAGGACATGGCGAGCGCGGCCTTCAGCACCCGCAACTGGACCATCACCGTGCGAGGCAACCGCGTGCACGGCCACATCTCGGCGCGGCTCCGCGCTAAAGGTCCCCGGTCGCGGCCCTCTCACCCGACACTTTGCGCCATGTAGGGCCCAAATCACAGGCTCGACGTGAGCTTTTTGGCTTCGGGCGATGCCGCTCAGGCACGCCCACATGGCCTTGTCGGCCAGTCTTTCTCATCCCTCTCTCCGCGCTACGGGAAGCAAGACGTCTACCCGGCGTCGGGCCACTTTGTCACCAGCGCCCAGGCCGAGGGCGCTATCGAGGGGACGAGCGAGATGTACCAGGTGGCCTCGGCGCACGACACGCGCTTTGTCTTCTCGCGCTTCGACGCCGTCGAAGCGCCGTGATCTCAGCATTCTCCGCGACAGCCGATCCCGCTTTTTTCAGATTTTCTCTCGCCATATCAGGTTATCACACCACAGCGGGCACCGAGGGCTCAGCCTCAGGGGCGCACACGGCTCGCTCCCCGCGTGTCACCTGTCACGCCGCTTCACGGCAATCTCCGCATTCATCATGAATCATCATATCCTCTCGCATATGCGATTTTTATCCGCGTACCGAAAAAATGATGATGATCCAACACAATTGCCGGATAAAACTCCCCCTGAAAAACCATGCCCGTGTCCTCAAAGCCTCCGGTTCGCGCCACGTCCCGTCGCAGAAGGCATCTCACCCCATCGTGGGCGCCCTCACCGGCCGCTGTTGGGATCGTCCACGTCGTTGTACGAGTTGTAACGCATTCCCGCCGAGTGCTCCTCGGTCGCCTTGAGGGGCAGAGGGCGCCTGGTTGGAGATGGGAGGCTCGCGGCGCCTCCCTCGCCAGCCCGCCGCCGCGTCGCGCCTCCACCCACTCGCCCGCCCCGAGGGCTGTGTGCAGGCCGGGCGAGGCGCCGCCGTGGTCTGCGAGGGAGAGGCCGAGCGCGTAGAGGAGCGAGAGGACGTACCTGACGGTGGCGCAGGCGGAGTTGAAGAGCTGCTCACAGCTGCTGCTCGGGCTGCTGAAGAGTTGCTTAGAGCTGCTGCTACTACGACCGCAGGGCCGCGCCGCAGTACAGCTGCTGCTGCTACTATCGGAAGCCGCGCCGCAGCGGCAGGCGCCAGTGGAGTGGCGCGCTGAAGGAGAGGACGTCGATCGGCGCCCAGAGGGAGACGACGGCGCGGGCGTCGTGCTCCCAGTTCGCCTGCCACGCAGTCGGCCCCGTGACGGCTCTGCTGCGGAGTGGGTGTCGAGGGCCGGGCGAGTGCCAGCCGCCAGAGCGGGTGACGACGAGGGTTCAGGAGGGCTCAGGAGGGCTCAGGAGGGCTCAGGAGGGCTCAGGAGGGCTCAGGAGGGCTCAGGAGGGCTCTAGGAAGGGTCTGTGGGAAGGGTCTGGGGAAGGGCTCTGGGGCGGCGTCGCCTCGTAGAGGCGGAGGCCCGTGATGGGCGAGAGGGTGCGCGCGGTGTAGTAGGCGGGGAGGAAGCAGAGCAGCAGCACGAGAACGTCGATGCCCGTCTGCAGCAGCACGTCGAGCATGCCTCGCGGATCGGAGACCTTGTCTCGAAGCGACGCCGCCCCAAAGGCCTCGGCGCGAGGGAAGAGGGCCTGCTCCGGAGCTCGCAGCGGTGAGGTGGTGGGTCCTCTAGCCCGGCAGCAGCTCTTGCTAGCATGGCGGAGGCAGCACGGCGGAAGCGCCTTGAAGCCGAAGATTAGGTAAGCATACTGGAAGAGGCCGAGGTAGAGTAGCCCGAAGAGGCCGAATCCGAGTGCTCGCCGCCAATCCACTTCCGCGAGCGACCGACCCTGCAGGGAGAACTGCTCGAGGATGTCGAGTGAGAGAGCAAAACACGCCGCCAGCACCAGCGCGTTGGTGAGCGGCCGCTTCGCCGCACACCTACGCCGGAATAGGCCTAGTCCTCCACGCATGAGGTACTCACAGTCGCCACAGATCGCACGCACCATCCATAGCCGAAACCACTCTCGACGTACGACAGCCGCGCTCGGGCACGCGTGAGCCGGTCGGTCTCCTTGCTTTCGAAGCGCGAGGTGCGCACCGATGCGAACGGGTCGAGCGAGGGAGCACGGCTGGTGCTAATCATCGTTGCCAGGTGCTGCCTATGTAGTTCTTTGGTGTACCTGTGTTAGTGCCAGTGCGCGCCAGTCCCGTGCTCGACCGTGCCCAGAGAGCAGCCCAGAGAGCAGTGTCGTGCGAGGGGGCTGGGTGATCTGTAAAAGAAAGAAAGAACGCAAGGCCGCCACCACACAGAGATTTGTGACATTTTGTGTAGGGGCAAAATTCTTTCTTTTTTTAGCCGGAGACTGTGAAGCATCCCCATCCGCCCTCCGGCTTGCGGCAGCTGCCGGCCGACGACCACCCGCTGGGTGTGTTACCTGGTGCTGAGCTTTGCTTTTGGTCGACCATGGTCCTCTGTAGTTCCCTTTAAATTAGCACGACAAGGGTGAGGAGAGATTGGAGTGTAGGTGGAGAGGTGCGGATGGGCTGAGCGAACCATTCGAAGGGCCGTCGCGCTCCCCCCGGGGCTGATGTTGGGAACTAAGCGATGGACGCATCCGGGTCTCGGTGAGGCGCCTCCCAGAACTCTCAATACTCGTCCGAGATGTCGCCGTCCTCGCTCTCGCCCTCCTCGCCCTCCGACCGCGCCATGTCGCCGCCAACCTCCGCGGCTGAGCCCTCGCCCACCTCGGCTTGGCCCTCGGCCGACGTGGGCGGGATCTCCACCCCCGGGGGCGCGCAGATGGCGTCGAGGAGCGCCTTGAGGGTGAGTACCTGCTCGGCAGACAGCGCGCGTGGGGAGGCGCCCCTCCTCACAGGCGCGCGGCTGCCTCGGTGCGGCGGCCTTTGGCGCGCCGGCCGCCGCCCTGGCGACGCTGACGGGGACCTTGTCGGCTTCGTCGGTGACGATGAGGGTGCATGCGCGCGGCGAGGCGCTCACCTGGACGCGGAGGGAGGGGGGCTCGGGGCGAGAGAGGCGACGCGCGGCGGCGAGGCGAGAAAGGGATGGGGCGCGAGCAGAGGCGAGGAGGCGGGAGGGGGGGAGGGCGGGCAAGCACCTCGCCGCCCGCGCACCGCACGAGCGCTGCGAGCGTCGCGGCGGGCAGCGGCGACCCGCGCCTGTTCACAGCTCGAGGTGTGAAGAGACGCTGTTCACAGCTAGAGGGCGGGCAGCAACGACCAGCGCCAGAAGCAGACCGTCTGACCCGCCAGCGGGCCCGCCCCAGTCAGTGCGCGCGCCAGCCGCGCCTCGCGGACGCCTCCGGCCCGCGCCTCGTACTCGTCCGGGCAAGCCCACTCCCCCGCCTCGAGGGAACGAAACACCTACGCGGGCCTCCGGGGAAGGCTCCGAGACGGCTCGTCTGGCCCGCCGCGCCATCGCTTCAAGGGAGGGGACACGCCCAAGCGGCGGTGACGGTCCAGCACCCCGCGGCGGCGGCGAAGTAGGCGCGCAGCGGCAGCCGCGTCGCGCCCTCTCGGATGACGACGTGGGAGCAGCCTTGAGGGAGGCTCTCGCCCTTTGTGTGCACGCGCGCACCGAGGGCGGCGGCGGCGGCCGCCACCGCCTCCGCCTCTGCCGGAGCGAGGTCGGCGCCTGGAGGGGTGGAGAGGTGGAGGAAGTGTTGCGGGTCGGGGCGGAAGAGTCGGACGGACGCCCGTGCGGTGCGAGATGCGCGCGCCGAGCGCGACGACGGTGCGGACCCTGCTCGGGCGGGCGGGCGGGCGGGGAGGGGCCGCCTTTCGGGCGGAGGCTGCCGCCCTCCCGCCACCCCCCCGCTCCCCCGCCTGGACCGCCGCCTCCCGCTCCGCCTCCCCCGCCTTACCCCGGGCGCCCTTCCAGGTCGCGCCGCGCGCTCGCTTGGCCGGCGGCCGCGCCGCCTCCGCCTCGGCGGCGGTGGGCTTGGCGGCAGCGGGCTTGGGCCTTGAGGCGGTTGGCTTGGCGGCGGGCTCGGCAGTGTCACCTCCCGACGTCTGAAGCACTGCAGCGCTAGTGTCCGCCGCCGCCTCCGCCCCCGCCTCCGCCTCCGCCCCCGCCTCCGCCCCTGCCTCCGCCTCCGCCTCCGCCTCCGCCCCCGCCCCCACCCCCGCCTCCGCCCCCGCCTCCGCCTCCGCCCCCGCCTCCGCCCCTGCCTCCGCCCCCGCCCCCGCCCCCGTCCCCGCCTCGATCCCTATCCCCACCCCTTCCACCGCCGCCTTGCCGCCAGCCTTGCCGCCAGCCTTGCCGCCGGCCTTCCTACCTCTGCCGCCAGACTCGCGTCCGCCTTCGGCTGCCGCCGCGGCGCCACCGCCGGGGTTCGTGGCGGCAGTTGCCTCCGCCGCTGGCGCAGAGAGCAGCAGCTCCGTCGCACGAGGCGCGTCTCCGCCGCTCGAGGCGAGGGCTGCGCGGGCGGCCTACGGACGCGTCTCGGACGTGTCTCGGACGTGTCTTGAACGTGTTGCCTGTTGGCCGTGTCGTGGGCGTGTCTTGTGCAGCGTCGCGCCGGCAGCCTCTGCCTCGAACACATTCCGGATTCTCGGCTGATCTCGGCTGATCTCGGCTGATCTCGGCTGATCTCTAGCCTCGGCGTCGAACCCCATCCCGACCAGAGCCTTGAGTGCAGGGGATGCGGGCTTGCGCCGCCGCCTGCTGCGGCCACCCGCCCCTGCCTCCGCACCCTCCCTCGCTTCCGCCTCCCCTGCCGCCGCCGCTGCCGCCGCCTCCCTCGCCGCCTCCTCCCTCGCCGCTGCCTCCCTCGCCGCCGCATCCGCGGCCTCCGCCTCCGCCGCTGCCGCCGTCCCTGCAGCCGCCGCCTCCTCTGCTGCCGCCTCCTCCGCCGCCGCCTCCTCTGCCGCCACCCCCTCTGCCGCCGCCGCCTCCCTCGCCGCCGCCTCCCTCGCCGCCGCCTCCCTCGCCGCCGCCGCCGCCTCCCTCGCCGCCGCAGCTGGCCCGACGCACGGCGGCAGAGGGGGAGGTGTCAGCGGGTCGGTGGCGGTCTCCCTCAGCGCCTGCTGCGCGCGGCGACGGCCGCGCTCCGACAGGTGCACGGCACCGCCGCCCGCAGTCGTGAAGAGGCTTGACACCGACCCGCCTCCGCCCGTGGCCACGCCCTTGCCTGGTGGCGGCGTCTCCTCCCGCGGACGCTCTTCCCACGGGCTTGGCGTGCCGAGGACGCCGTCGTTTTCCCCCGCTGGCTCCACGTCGCTCGCTATGAGCAGCGACTTGCCCGCGACACTCACGCTCTTGCACACCCGCAGCCGGACGAGAGCATTCGGTGCAAGAGCGCCGCCCTCGACTAGGTGGTGGTTATTTGTTGCGAGCATTACGGGCCTCGTGTGTCGGCCGTCGGAGAGGAGAAGGCGGTACCGCGCGGCGCCTGGTGTTGTAGTCTCCTGTCGAGTCAGGAAAACCACCTGCAGCAGTGCCGGCGGATCGAGCGTGCCGTCCGCCGGCCTTCCCTCTTTGCTCAGCGCGGCAATGGCGCCGTCGGTTAGCGCCCGCGAGGGAGGAAGCGTGCGGCTGCCCTCGAACGTCTCGCGGCGTGGCGGCCGCTTGCCGAGGACAGAGGGAGCCTTCGAGCGCATCATGGTGGCTAACCGGGGAGGGCGCGAACCAGGCGCGAACACGTGGCGTTTATTTTGCTTGGCCGGGTATCATGACGGGGTAGGAAGGGTAGGTCTGGGCCCTCCCGTCGGGTTTTTCCCTCTCTTCAAGCTGGAATTTTCACAGCAGAAAAAGAAATTTTCCGCGGAAATCACGATGTCAATCCTCCCCAAATGGGTGATCTGATGCTTGTAGGGCTTGAGAGTGGCCTCCCATGTCACAAGAAGGACTGTGGATGCAGGAGAGTACCACCAACCATCACTCTAGTTGGTATAGTACCCCACCTTCACCCATCCCGTGATTTCTTTTTTAGTTTCTCATAAGTAAGGTAGGTAGGTAGGTAGGTAGGTAGGTAGGGGCAGGGCAGGGGCCGGTCAGGTTTTTGCAGAATTTCATCATGATACCCGGCCAAGCAAAAATAAACGCCACCTGCGAACGCCGATATTTTTTGTCTACGCCCTTAATTTTTTCCGTTTATTTCGGATCCTATTTCAAAAAATCGGAAACCCACCTACAAAAATCGCTCCTCGTCGCAAACCCTGTCAGCAGTTCACCACGAGAGCTACTTTCACTGAAAAGAAAAACAAGCCGACATTTTCACATTGACACTCTCCGCCCACCCATCTCCGCGAGGGCGAGCATGACGGGCGCAGCCCTGCGCGTGCTGAGACCTGCGAGTCGTCTTCACCATCTTGCGCTTAGCGGGGCGGCCCATCGTCACCTCTCGACGCACGCTTCGCCGCCGCCGCCGCCGCCGCCTCCGCCCGCCGCCGCCGCCGCCACCTCGACTACGCTGCCCATCGTGGAGGTGCGCAGCCCGCAAGACTTTGACGATCTGTGCGTGCGCGCCTCTGCGACGCCGCCGCCCGTCGGCGGACCCGTCATCCTCGACTTCTACGCCGATTGGTGCGGTCCCTGCAAGCAGCTGACGCCAAAGCTCGAGGCGCTGGTGACTGCGGCGGGCGGGACGGTTCGGCTCGCAAAGGTGAACGTGGACAATCTCCCGGAGATTGCGCAGGCGCTGCAGGTGGCGTCGCTTCCGACCGTGATGCTCCTGCACGGCGGGAAGATTGTCGACTCATTCAAGGGTCCGCCGCTAGCGGGGACGAGAGCAGGAGTGGGGTGTGACGCCGCCGTGCTGTGACGGCAGGCGTCCTCCCGGACGACAAGGTCAAGGAGTTCGTCGACAAGGCCGTCGCGCTCGCGGGCGGACCGGACGCGTCCGGCCCAAAGGCGCTCGAGGAGGCTGCGGCTTTGCTGGAGGGCGGCGACATCCCGGCCGCCGCAGCAAAGTGCGCAGCACTGCACGTTGCGGACGGGCAGGCAGTCTTTGGCACACCGCCCCGCCCCCGTCGCTCGCCCAGGTACGCCGAGATTTGCGCGCTGCCGGAGCTCGCCGCCGCCGCCAAGGCCGGGCTCGCGCTGTGCGCGCTGCAGGACGACCAGCTCTCTGCAGCGCAGGACCTCGTCGCCGACCTGACCAAGAACCACGCGGCAGACCTTGAGGCGCCGCCCGTGAGGAAGGCGCGCCATCCCGGCGGGCGGGGTGATCCCCCCCCCCCCCCCCCCTCTCACACCACCACGCTCGGAGCGTGTCCAGCTGCGCCTACGGTAGGCGATCGCAGCGGTGGCCCTCGCTGTCGACGCGCCCGAAGGCGGCCGCCCGGTCAGCGAGCTCCGCCTGGCGCTCGAGGCGGACCGAGACGACCACGCCGCGCGGTACGAGCTCGCGCAGCGCCTGCTCGTGTCGGGGGAACAGGCGGACGCCATCGACGAGCTACTGCTCATCGTGAGGCGCGACAAGGCGTGGTCCGATGGCGCGGCGCGTCTGCTGCTGCTCAAGGTCTTCGACGCGCTCGGCAGCGGCCACGAGCTGACGAAGAAGGGCCGGCGCCGCCTCTCGAACTTCTTGAACATATGACGCGGCGGGTCTACACGGCCAATACACAGGTAGTCAATAAAGACACACCTGATAACAGACACATGGGATGACGGATGTTTGGGGGGGGTTGGGGGCATCCCCATCCCAACATTTTTGATCACAAACCCGCTAGGATATATTTGATTAATTTTGCCTGAAAAGTTCAAATCCATTCCATGCCTAACATCTGTCGAGGTGTTTGACCCGTGGAGCTGTCAAACGCCTTAAGGTTGCTCCCGGCCCCAGTGGGGAGTGGGGATTTTGGCCTACTCAGTGACCGTCTAAGGGGCCCTAAATGGCCTGCAATGCCATATCTTTTGCCTAGCTTGTAGAGCACCTTAAAAAAGTACTATGTCTTGGAGTGAAAAGTTTTTCGATGAGGTGGGGGTCCGTGGTGAGCAGATTCCCAGATTCTCCAGATCCCCCCTCGAAAACCGCCTTTAATTCACTGCGGCCGCGGCTTTGCTCGGATTGCTTTTCACTCGAAGACATAGTAGTTTTTTGGCGTTCCGGTCAAAAAATATCCGAGATCGCATGGAGTTGCACTATTGTTGGCTGAAATCGTCTCAACAAGTAGAGCTGTTTAACATTAACTTTGGGCCTAACAGTTGCGCTAGTGTTGGCTGAAATCCTTAACGTTGTTCAAGTGTTCACCCCAGCCTTTGCTGTTACTGTTTGTTACACTGTTGTTACTGTTGTTCAGCGGTCAGCAAGCAGAAAAAAAACCCGGGTAAACCCCGAAAATACCTGGGGTTTCCCGGGTATTTTCGGGTATTACCCGCACTGGACGCTGGAGATCGTCGTGGGTCACTGCCAGGCCTTCCTTGTTGTTGTTCAGCCGGCCTAACGTTAGCTACTGTTGTTGGGGAGCCCCAATGTTGTTCTGTTGTTACTGTTAACAACAACACTGTAACACCAGCAACACTGTTCAGCTCTTAACGTTTGACAGCTCTAGTGTTTGGATGAAGTGCTTTGATGTTTTTAAAACCAAAATTTGAATAAGAATATATCCAAGCGGCAATTAAGCGGCGTCACCGCGCGTTTTTGATCGATCAATGTGTCGTGCTTCAAAAATGATAAATGAAAATGTGAGCTGGGATGCACATCCCATTTTATCTCACGTGGATTTGAAAGATTTTTTCTCTCAAAGAAAAGACAAGACAACCCAAGAGAGAGATGGGAGGACGGCACGCCGCCACCACACACACAAGAAGAAGGTCAACGCTTGCGGTTCTATCCTCGCGGCGACTGGTACACCTTGTACTGGGGATGGCAGCTCGGGGCCGACAAAGGTCGCAAAGGCGCGCTGTCTTCCCGACGCTCGAGCACGACAACTACGACCCCCGGCCCCCTCGCAGAGCGCATCAGGCGCGACAAGCGCGGAGAGATGTCCCCAGGTAGGAGGCTCCACGCCACCTGACTCGCGTCGTGCCACCTGACTCTCGCCTGGAGAGGCCTCTTAGCCGAGGCACACGTGGCAATCGCCACGTGCGCCACCAGGGATTTCGGCCATTTTAGAGCCTTTTGCACAAAAATGCAGGTGGCTTCAGCCACTTGCTCCATGAGCAAAACAGTGCAAAAAGCACCTGGAGCAGATGGCTTACGCCGCCTGTGGACATGGGCAAAACAGTGCAAAAAGCACCTGGAGCAGATGGCTTACGCCGCCTGTGGCCATGGGCAAAACAGTGCAAAAAGCACCTGGAGTAGATTCCAAACGCCGCCTGTGGCCATGTGAGCGCTCGGGTGGCGCCAAGGGCTTCGGCCCCCTCCAAGCCACCTGCCCCCCCTCCCTCGCCACACGAGGAGGGCTGGAGCACGTGCGCCACCTGGGCCTGGGCAGGTGGCTCCAGGTGGCTTCGTTCGGCCCCTCCACCTGCCCCGCCCCCCTCGCCACACGTGGAGGGCTGGAGCACGTGCGCCACCTGGGCCCGATAGGTGGGCATGGCATGTGGCGCCAGGTGGCTTCGGCCCCTCCAAGCCACCTGCATGCCCCCCCTCGCCACACCTGGAGGGCCGGAGCACGTGCGCCACCTGGCGAAGTTTGAATAAAAAAACGGAAAATCCGAGCCACGGAAGGAGCCGGTGGCTGCGCTGCTCACGCGCCGTTGCTGCCGACGCTGAGCAGTCTGACTCGCCAATGAGAAGACTGCCCAATAATACGCCATCACTCGATCCTCGATAAACCAGGCCATGCAGAGCTTTGTCGGCCTCGCCGACGTCGTGTGCTGGCTGCGCGGTAGAGTTGCGAGAGTGGATTGTGGAGGCGCGGCGGGGGCGGCTCGTGGTGCCGAGGCGGTGTATAGTACATTCCTATTCAAAAGAACACGCACGATGAAATTCCCGAAGTGACGCCCAGGTGGCGCACGTGCTCCAGCCCTCCAGGTGTGGCGAGGGGGGGCATGCAGCGCAGAGGTGGCTTGGAGGGGCCGAAGCCACCTGGAGCCTGATTTCTTGTTGGCTTCTAATAATCACACACATGGACATGGACATGGGATTGAAGGAGAGGGGTGAGTGTGGTGCTTGCCAGCCGTCGCCCATCCTTGGGCGTCTGCCTCGTCCTATCTCTCATCTCAGTCCCTAAATAAATAAATAAAACGGACATCCCAAGCTAGGTAACAAATAAATAAATAAAACGGGCTGGGTCGAGGACAGACACGTCCCCACCTTTGCAGGATTTTGCAAAAGCGAGGGGCGTCTGTTATCAAATTTGCTTTCGACGCACCCCCCTGTTTATGGCTCCTAGCCGGAGATAGGGTGGGTTGTCGACACTGACTGACTCACGCCAAAACGCCCTACCTACCTACCTGAGCACTTGAGCACTGGATAGGGTCGATTCCGCATGGTACGGGACCCCTCGATCGTCTCGCCCTCCCTCACTGGTATGTTCATTGGGGGGGGTCATAACAAACACGGTACAGGATCGAGGTGCACGCTGCAGGAGCAGTGTCGTCCCCCCTCTCCCCGACGGCGATGGCGGTGTGACCGATCGAGCTACAAGAGGAGCTTGTTCAGCAGGATCCGGGATAGTCTGATGCACTACCTCACTGGGCCTGAGACCATCAGCCAGCATTCCGTCACCGTCTCGGGTTTGTGTGGGATCGAACCACTCCGGGATGGGCAAGCCCATCGTTCATTGTGAGTCGTGCCTTTCCCCACTGGTTAATTGTCAAAATTCCTGTTGTGCAAGAGGTGGGCGTCCCCTGGGACGCGCTTCCCGAATCGTGTCGGTCCTTCGAACACGCCGTACGCCACCCTAGGGTTCGGCACGTACTTTCTATCTTCCGCCATTTCTCGTCTTCCATGGTCCTTGCCTCCGTCCGTCGCCGCCATGTGTGTCGCCGTTGGTTGGTTGCCTCTCCTGTCTCTCCATCATCTTTTTCACCGCGTCCGCCGTGATCTTATTTTGCTCGGGTATCTCCTCCTCCCATGTCGCGTTCGTATCGATGCTGCTGCTGCTGCCCAGCACTGTTGTCGCCAACCAAGCGCCGGGCCTGGCTGGCTAGGGCTGCCGGGCGTGAGCTGGTGCGCGGGAAGTGCTTGAGCAGCCGGCCGGTAGCCGCGGCCACCTCATGTCAAAGGGTAGCCTCGAGGTGGTTCTTGCACGTTTTCAGACTCTCCGGCCGCCAGGACCGCCCCCGATGGTGTGCGCTTCCACCCAGTTGTGTGCGAAGTTCGGAGTACCTAGACCTAGGGGCGCGCCCCCGCGCAGCGGCACAGAGGCTGTGCGTTACTCGGCCTTTGGGGAAGGAGCTCGTCGCGGGGGCAGGTGCGTCGCCAGGTGGCTCATGTCGGGCAACGGCGGCAGCGGGGACTTCATCGACGAGATCATCGCCGCCTTCATCGAGAGCGACTCGGAGGGCACGGATGGCCAGCAAAGGCTCGCACCGTCTGCGTTCTTGTCAGCCGCTGCGTCGTCGGCTGCGGCGTCGTCGGCCCTCTGGCCCATGGTGGCCGCGCACGCCACTGCGACAATCGCCGGGACGACAGACGCTGCTCCGATAGCCCAAGCAGTGCAGGAGACCGGCATGATGGACGCGTCGATGACGGAGGTGGCCCAACACCCCGGCTGCCACGCCAGCCCCGCGCCGATGGTGATTGATAATGGGCCAGTGGAGGCCAGCAGGAACGCAAGCAGCTGCGTGAGCAGTGCGAGTAGCAGCGGGATCGGTGCGGGAGTCGGCGGCGGGGGGGAGGGCGGCGACGGCGGTGGTGGCGGTGGCGGCGGTGGTAGTTGCAGTGACAGCGCCGCCGGCGGGGCCGCAGACGATATCATCCCGTTCGAGTGGATCCGTTGCCGCTGCCCGCTGCGAGTGGACACAGTCGGTGAACGATATCCCCAAGACCCCCCCTCCTCTTTGCAACCGTGCGTCTCTCACACGCCTCTTCTCCTCTGGGTCCCTGCTCGCCCCCCCTCC